GCGCCCAGGGTGAGGCATGTCCGCCTCTCTGGGGGACGGCGGGGACGGGACCCCCTGCCTGCCCGGGGGCGTGGAAAGGAGCGGAGCGGTACGTCAGGTATGGGCAGGGATCTGGCCATGGGAAACAGATCTGGGCTGGAGCCTGATGCGGGACCAGAGCCACAGGAAGCCTGGGGAAACACAGTCTGTGCTGGGACCCGGGGGGCTCTCGCCCAGCCCTGCCAGTCCGGACGAGTACTCTCTTCTGCTGACAGACGTTGTGCAGCCCACCCAGGCTATGATACAGACTCTCATAGCAGGCAAGGGGGGATAAGACTTAAATGCAGGTTTTAAGTTCATTTCATCTTAATTGTCTGATACTAATAGGACAGTGAAATTGGATCAGGCACAGAAATCCCAATGGACACCGCCCAGGTCCGTAGGGCTGTCTGCGTCCTGCCGGCTGCAGAAAACAATACCGCGCTCTCTGTGGCCTGGCACTGCAGTGGCAACACGCTGGTTTTGCTGTACATTCGATACTATTCCTGGCAAGCCCCTTAGCTGCTCTTTGTACTTACATGCCATAAACACAGTCATGTAAAAATATGTAATTATCTCAGCGGGGACGTTGCTGGAATAGCAAGGTTAATTTGGTGTGCTGAGTAACAGGCGAAGGAGGGTGCCCGCAGCCGGGGCTGCAGCGCCCACTGCCTCTGCACAGCTGCTCTCCTCTTTGTCTTTTGTCTTGCTTTTGAAATAAACAGCATCTGGCCCTTATTCAGCTACAGTGGTAAAAATGCCTATAAGACTAAGAATATATTCCTTTTTCCCTCTTATTTCCACTCTCCTTTGTCCTCTGAAAAACCTTCCATTGCAGGGGCCATGTCAGAGCTTTTTTTTTAAAAAAGACTGAATTTAAAAAATCTCTCTTGTCACCACAAAGACAGGAGCGCCTTTCTGTTTGGCAAATGACTGATGTGCTATTGGTTGTCTCCTCTTTTCCAATCCATTTGAGGAAATATTCTTTGTTATCACAAGGTTTCTCATAACAATTTTTAAAGCTTCTTTTGTGCTCTTTTTTCCACTAAGCCATTTAACAAATATTACGCAACAAATCCCAGAAGCTACTAAGATAGTTACAAGCCAAGCAGAGATATGCTGGTGCATCTGTTTTTCCAGATTAGAATGTAATCATGCTCCCTGCTCAGTAAAAAAAAAAAAATCCAACCTGTTCAGCACGGCAATCATTAATGTTCTGGGAGATGTATGCGCATGTGATGAGGAAAGCCCCAGGAACATTTGTGATTGAATATCAGTACAAGAGTGACCACTCTCTTGGTTTTTGGGGTGGTTTTCCACTTTTTTGTCTGAGAAGAAAGATAAAAGCCCCGAACCCCCCCCCCCCCCATTTTTTTTTCAGAATAATTGCATTTGCCAAGGGATGGTGCAAAAGTGAAGGAGTGAAACTTCAGGATTCCTACTTGATAAACCGAATAAATTCATGACTGCCAAAATGTTAAAGTGAACAAAACTGAAAAGCCAGCTGTGAGATTTTAAGTATTTCACCAAAAAGCACTGACCAGCAAAATGATAGTTGAGTTTAGAGAGACCAAGATTTCTGCAAGATTTGTGTTGGTTTTGGTAAACTAGAAACAGCTTTAGGGTTTAAAATTACCATGTTAGGACTTTTTGCCTAGTTTTGATGAGGTTCTGTAAAAAAAAAAACCACACCAACCAAACACAACTTGTGGCAGCCCTGAGCAGGCTGTGAGCTTCCTCAGCACAAGTGGGAAAAAAACTCGGAAGAAATTTGCTTTGCTCTCTGCAGAGACTGAGAATACATTCCTCCTGCATGATCGTTTTCTTTTTTTATTTTTTTCCAGGGGTTGCCTTATACCCCCGCGTCCCCCCATCCCAAGCACGGAGCCAGCCCTGGCAGCGCGGGAGGGCTCCCACTTACCAGCAGCAAGGTGCCGCGGCCTGGCCGTGGGCAGCCCTGGGCAGCGGGCGGCAGCGGGCAGCGCTGGCTCAGCCACTCCATCTCCCCAGCCGGGCGAGAGGCTGCGTCCCCTCCGTCCCTCCACCTGCTCTGCCCCGAGCTGGGAAGGCTGCCTGGGAAGGCTGCCCGCAACGAGCACTAACTCCTCCTCCTCTTCCTCCCCGGCTGCCTGCAGGCTGGTCCCCGCCTGTCTGCCCCAGCGCGGGGCTGAGGCGTGGGCCCGTGGGCCAGCATGGCGTCCCCACGGCCCCTTCCCTGCCCTCCCCTGCCAGCCCGAGCCCCCACATCCAGGCTCTCCGCCTGCCTGCAGGCAGCTCCGCGCACAGCCCGCTGCCCGACCCGCAGAGCCAGGCAGGACAGACGCTGGCGCCCGGCACCCCCAGAAGCGGGGTCGAGGCCGTGGCAGGGACGAATCCCCCGCCGTCGCATCGGTGCCGATACCGAAAATGCCCGCGCCAACATCTGCCGGAGAAATCTCTCCCTCCAGCGCAAGCACTGGGGTCCTCCCAGAGCCGTCTCAGGGGCTCCGAGAGACTTGCCGATGCCATTGGGCACTTTTGCTTTAATTTTCCCATTTATAACATAGTTATTTTCTCAGATTTAATATTGTTAGGGCTCTGTACTCTTTGGCTAGAAACTACTAGGAAGCTGCTAAGTCCTGCCGTGTTGTTTGGGCCTAAAATGCTCCTGTAAGCAATCCAGCGCAGAGGACACAGCTCCGTTCTGTCTCACACTGTAACTTTATTACGTTCCTGTCAGCCCTCATAAGCTCTTAGGACACCGGCTTCATTGCCAGCCCGCAGAGTGCAGCGGCCCCAGCCCGGGTTTAGACGCGAGCCTGACGGCTGCACCCCTGCGGCAGACGCTGCGGACGCGCTGCCTGCTCGGAGGCCTCGGCGAGGCGTGAAATACCCCCGCGCCCTGCAGCACGGGAACGGCCGGGTATTCGCTACCCTCGGTTGTCTCCGCTGTTGTCCATGGGCTGAAAAAATGACTTTTTTTCCTCTGCTGGTGCGAAGCAACCCCCGTGTTTTCTTGCAGCGCGTCCCGCCGTGAAGCAGCCGAGCTGTCCCCGTCGCCGTCAGCGGGGATGAGGCAGGACGGGGGGTCCCGGCACCGCAGCTCCCGCCCAGCCAGCGGGACCCCCCCGGGGCGCAGCTCCGCCACCTCAGCACCTCCGCGCTGCACCTCACCTCCCCATGTGACACGCGTGACGCCCCTGCAGGGGCCTGTTCTCCCCGGCCCAGGGAGTGCCGCTGCCGGGCGCACACCCGGAGGGCGGCCGCC